CAGTGAATTGGCAAAAAGGGCTGTTAAAGGGGAAGCGACTTGTCTTCTAGTCTCACCACCTCCCGCGACGCGATGAGTTGTCACGATCCAGAGCCACGGTCGGCTGGTAAATGTCTCTCGCTTGTCTCGTCTCATGTTGATCTTCTCTCTTCCATCAGTCGTCTAACATATGCATAATATAACCTACGTACTGGGATATTCAGTATAGTTTATTCGATTGCATAACTATTACGCGTACGACTGGATGCGTGTTTTGCGCAAGTAACTTTCATTACGGGTTGCCAGCATTCCGTTTAGCGAACGGGAATACTGTAAACTGTACTTTAGAGTATGAACAGATTATTTGCATTAACCGCAATCGCGATTATGCAACGAATTGAATGCACTGTGAGGCAAAGCTGTTTCGTTTCATTGAATGGGCGCCTGCCAATGCTTCATATTCACGCACGCGTTGGTATAATGCAGTCACGAAGCGCGGACAATAGCAAGGGGAAATTGGGATCCTCTGATGCAACCACTCGCGCCTCGCTTTGCCACTGAAGCCGGTCGCTCTCGTCGCTCCGCTAAGACCACCACCCCCCACCACCACGTAGTTACAAAGTACACTAGTTATGGCTGTCGAATATTAAAGTCTCAAAATCAATTCGCGTACAGCACCATCGCAAAAAGGTCCGACCTGAGCTCCATTTGTAAATTCACTGTCACCCCCCCACCCTCACGCGCCGACCGCTCGGTGACGTCACTTCCACCTAACGGGGCAGGACATCCGGGCGATGGGCGGGGCTAGAAACCACTCCATGCGCCTTGCCTTCCTCACGCCCCGCCCCCCTCCCTAAACCCCGCCTTCTTACGTCCCGTCCTCATCTTGCGCCCCTCCCCTTACACCCACCCTCTCCTTACGCCACGCCCCCTCCATACGCCCCTCCCCCGCATTATACCTTTGCCTTACGCCCTCTTCCTTAGGCCCCGCCACTTCCTTACGCCCCGCCCCCTGCTTGCAAACGCGTTCACATAAAATAAACGATTGTAATTTGTGATATACAAACGGGTTCATTCTGTCGTACTCTTTTATTGAACGGGGTTGTCAGTTTTAATCACGCAGCTGCCAATAGAGATTAGTGTAACTTCGTGTTTTTGTTAATAATTCGGAGATATGTTTGTTAACTCGGGAATGTCTCACCAAGTCCCTTGACTCTTTTTCACTGTATGTACTGCATGTCGAGCTTGTTTCTTACCGTACGTTGCCAACCGTGCTAATCGGAGTTCTAAAGAAATTAATTTTCGCAGTCGGGGAAGCAATGGTTGGTCGCAATGTATAATCCCAATGGAGCAGTGACGTGCGGTGAAGTCAATGGCTGGGGAGGCACTGGCTTGTGTCAGTCAGATTCACACAGAGGGGGGCGTGGCCTCACGGAGGGGGGCGTGGCCTCACTGAGGGGGGCGTGTTAGACACGTCCCCCTCAGTGAGGCAGATGTGATAGCTGCCTCCTCTGGTGCTTTTTCATTGCAGTTTCATGACGAGACCAGCGAGCCTAAATATCTTTATACACCCATACGTGAAATAAGTTACCTGGAGTATGGAAGGCGAGGACATGAAATGAAGGGGTCTACAAACATTACATTGGTGACACTGAGAGAGTAACAGGCACGCGCTTATTGCCCGCGCTCCATCCAGTTACTGAGGGGTTGCGCAATCAGAGGGGAGGCTGAGCACGTCGCTGCCTCACCTCTCATATCTTCCTGTATTTGCAGCGGAGCTCCGCAAATTTGGCGATTTTGACTACAAAAATGATTGGAATCGTACAGAAATGACATTTATAACACAGATCAGTGGAAAAAAATCTTAATATTTATTTGATTTGATTATTTTTTAGTAACAGCTATTTTCATTGGAGTATGACAGGTGAGGCTCTGCCTCCCCCTGCCTCCCCTGACCGCACGTCCCTGCAATGGAGTAATTCGTGGCGTAATTTTTCAAGTTTGGCAAATTTGGGAAATTTGGAATAATACCGGCCACACAGTGGGCCTACTATTGCCATTCCCATCGCTGTGGAGAACATCGTCAAACACACAAATACGTCTCCACACGTTTACTTTACACACAGCAGAGTCAAGCACGATATCCTGGTGGAATTGGTCTGTGTGTTTCAGTTTGTTGTCCTTCACCCGGCACCTCCGATCAGTGAGGTTGGCTAATTTTTGCACATTCTTGAATTGCATGTTTTTAGGTGCTGTGTAAATGGTTTCTTTTTGTGTTTTACATTTTTGATGTCAAATTTGAATAATAAAACGTACAAAAGTTACTCCCATTTACTGTACCGTACTATCCACTCAAATTTAAGGCACTGCAAGGGGTGAATGACGTAGCACCACTACGCGCTTGTTTCCACAACTTGTGTTTGATGATCGTCAGTGATGCAGCCCTTAGACCGGCGCTCGGGCGAATTACACAACGCACATTTCGCCGGATCGCACTGTGATCATTCTGTTTTTATTTCTGTAGTTATTAGCCATGGAAAATGTATATACGTGCAGTGTTTTTTATTGTTTCAGTTGTCGTTATGTTGTGTACAATGTACCTTACGTAATTTTTGACAATTAAATCAAGCATAGCAATTTTTTTTGGCACGCCTGTGGTGCCGATCGCGGGACTGGTTACAGCCTTTGGATCCGTTATTCTGATTTCGCCGGATCGGCCCGGGGCCGCAGGATAATGTTGTAAGCAGCCGGATAATTAATCGATGATCAACTGTACATACGCACGCGGTGTCGGCTGATCAGCTGAGTTTAGGCGAGGTCCGTAGTCATGTACGCTCCAGCACGTGGGTGGGAACACCAGTGGCGTATAGCTATCGAGCGTGGTGCAGGCGGTGCAACTGCCCCACATGCCCGAGGGGCCCATTCCGGCGAGCTAAAAAGAGGTTTGGAGATTTGACTGTGGGGGGGGGGGGGGGGGGGGGGGGGGGGGGGGGGGGGGGGGGGGGGGGGGGGGGAACAAAAAAGGGCATTTAAATCTGGGGCACCATTCCCGATGCCAACCACGATATTACGCAATTGATGTACAGTGAGGGAAAACGTATTTGATCCCCTGCTGATTTTGTACGTTTGCCCACTGACAAAGAAATGATCAGTCTATAATTTTAATGGTAGGTTTATTTGAACAGTGACAGACAGAAAAACAACAAGAAAATCCAGAAAAACGCATGTCAAAAATGTTATAAATTGATTGCATTTTAATGAGGGAAATGAGTATTTGACCCCCTCTCAATCAGAAAGATTTCTGGCTCCCAGGTGTCTTTTATACAGGTAACGAGCTGAGATTAGGAGCACACTCTTAAAGGGAGTGCTCCTAATCTCAGCTTGTTACCTGTATAAAAGACACCTGTCCACAGAAGCAATCAATCAGATTCCAAACTCTCCACCGTGGCCAAGACTAAAGAGCTCTCCAAGGATGTCAGGGACAAGATTGTAGACCTACACAAGGCTGGAATGGGCTACAAGACCATTGCCAAGCAGCTTGGTGAGAAGGTGACAACAGTTGGTGTGATTATCCGCAAATGGAAGAAACACAAAATAACTGTCAATCTCCCTCGGTCTGGGGCTCCATGCAAGATCTCACCTCGTGGAGTTGCAATGATCATGAGAATGGTGAGGAATCAGCCCAGAACTACACGGGAGGATCTTGTCAATGATCTCAAGGCAGCTGGGACCATAGTCACCAAGAAAACAATTGGTAACACACTATGCCGTGAAGGACTGAAATCCTGCAGCGCCCGCAAGGTCCCCCTGCTCAAGAAAGCACATATACATCCCCGTCTGAAGTTTGCCAATGGACATCTGAATGATTCAGAGGACAACTGGGTGAAAGTGTTGTGGTCAGATGAGACCAAAATGGAGCTGTTTGGCATCAACTCAACTCGCCGTGTTTGGAGGAGGAGGAATGCTGCCTATGACCCCAAGAACACCATCACCACCGTCAAACATGGAGGTGGAAACATTATGCTTTGGGGGTATTTTTCTGCTAAGGAGACAGGACAACTTCACCGCATTAAAGGGACGATGGACGGAGCCATGTACTGTCAAATCTTGGGTGAGAACCTCCTTCCCTCAGCCAGGGCATTGAAAATGGGTCGTGGATGGGTATTCCAGCATGACAATGACCCAAAACACACGGCCAAGGCAACAAAGGAGTGGCTCAAGAAGAAGCACATTAAGGTCCTTGAGTGGCCTCGCCAGTCTCCAGACCTTAATCCCATAGAAAATCTGTGGAGGGAGCTGAAGGTTCGAGTTACCAAACGTCAGCCTCGAAACCTTAATGACTTGGAGAAGATCTGCAAAGAGGAGTGGGAAAAAATCCCTCCTGAGATGTATGCACACCTGGTGGCCAACTACAAGAAACGTCTGACCTCTGTGATTGCCAACAAGGGTTTTGCCACCAAGTACTAAGTCATGTTTTGCAGAGGGGTCAAATACTTATTTCCCTCATTTAAATGCAAATCAATTCATAACATTTTTGACATGTGTTTTTCTGGATTTTGTTGTTGTTACTCTGTCTCTCACTGTTCAAATAAACCTACCATTAAAATTATAGACTGATCATTTCTTTGTCAGTGGGCAAATGTACAAAATCAGCAGGGGATCAAATACTTTTTTCCCTCACTGTACGTACGGGTCGGCTAGCTGTGAGCACAGTGCCAACAGGCGGTTACATTCCCAAGTCACATGAGCCTCGTGGGCATCCAAGCACATGGGTGGGATGGCACCTTGCCATGCTTTGGTTATAATCTCTGTGCAAGTTAAGTCTCTGTAGTTTGAATATTTGTGTGGGAGAGTGTTTGTGACATTGTGACTGTGGGCGTTCCTGCAAGTTTGTACTTTGGTCAGTAGCCGGAAAAATTGGTCGGTGGCTGGAACCGCTGAACCAAACCTCAGCATTTGTGCTTTCGTGACGCCATGTGCACAACAGGGCTGTACGTGACTGCTGAGATAAATTTTCTGGTTTAGAGTCTTTCAAGTGGTATTTGTTGTTGTTTTTCCACGTAAGTGTATGGGGCGACTGCAGTGGATAGTTGTGAAATTGTGAACACGAGAGGTTGTCGTTAAAACATCTCAAAAGACAGTCCACTTAAATCGGGTAAGTAATGCGGAATAAGCACCGCAGCGTCTCATGTACTGTGCCCTGTGAGTTGAATTCGTTTTAAATAAAAAAAAAACATCCAATGTTGCATGAGCTTTTGAATTTAGTTACGTATAACAATTTAGTAAAAAAAAGAATATGCTTAATGGAAGGCCTTACAATACCTTTGTAGTTCAAGTGGGTTGTTTTACCAAACTACAACTGGATTACACTCGCCACTTTCATGGTCCTCTTGGCTGACGATTTATCTCGGATCGCCGGGTTCATAGTGCAGTGTACTCGCCACAGCGGACGCTCCGTGTTTTGCACGGGCGATTTGCTGTGGCGTTCTTTTGGAGATGGGAATAACAACCCGTGCGTGGGCCTGGCCACGACACGTCTCTAGCAGGGACGACGATGATGATGACGAGGGTGGACGATGAATGGCAGTCGAGAAGAACTTAAATTGTGCTGTAAAAACTACATTTTTTTACTGTTTTGCTGGCCATCGAACAAAGACGGTCACTGCATCGTACACTTTCAGATGCGCTTCTGCGGCCGTTTGGAACGCTCTTCCTTCCAATATTAGGAAGCAATCCCAGTGTTGCGCTTTTACATCTCGATTTCAAACTCATCTCTTTCAAACTGCTTTTTGTACTTCGTTTATTGTCATTCCCCTGCACCTCCTTTTCTCGCATTCGTACATACAAACTCGTCAGATACATTGAACGAGTAATCTACTGCCTGGTTGAACCTGAGACTGTTTGGTTCAAAATATAATAGTTGGATACTGTGAGTACTGTCACTCATCATGATTTTGGTTCAATCATGCAAATGACGATGCTAATTTCTTCACCCTGGAAAGCCTCAGTGATTTCAAACATATTTTTCATGAGGGTCCTGCATTGAGATATTTCTCCAGTTTTATTCATGGGTGGCTTTATGAGGGAGGAAACTGAAGTACCCTTTGAGAATTCACCGCGGACACACAAGGGAATAGTACTCAGAGCTTCGCACAGATGTAATTGTAAGTGCCATTATTTTCTATCTTTAGGAAGTAACATGCCGCAAGAAGAAATATTTTCATTCTGTACATATTGCCTGCTATGACTTATGGGTTAGAAAAATTGACAAAGACGATTGAACAAGAGACGAGAAGTGTGCCAAGAACCACGCAGAGAGAGAGACCGATAGATGATGTAAATACGTTGAGAGACTAAAACGGAAACTCATGGACTATAGAGCCACCACAAGTGAGAGACATATGTACGATTGTTGAACTTCTTTCGCACCGTATGTAGCCAACCAGGTTCATCGGAGGTGTGGGAGAAAGACAACAAAGTAAACACAAAAAGCGGTTCGAAAAAATGAGTTTGGAATCTAGATTTTGACCATGAATGAAAGTGGGTTTGGACAGGACGTGTCGCTAGAATTATTTGTTGGCCGGTAATGAAGACTACCGATGGAGTGGCAGCCAAAGAAGGGAACACGCCCGAGCGGATGTCCACCGCGGAGATGGGGTGAAGAAGTAACTGGATGGGTTGTTGCATCGCCTAACAGGGAGAGGTGGCCACCCACGGCTTAGAGGTCTTCATTCAAACATTGCTCATCGCTGCCGATGACACGTGGACTACGCCTACTGCTCCACTCCCATCTCCTATAGCCCACAGCCTCAGACCCACAACGCCCGGTATAAACACAAATGCGACCGTCAACTTTAAGCATGGTTGTCATCGCTGCTGTGTATGTTCGTTGAACTTCTTTTGCACCGTACGTAGCCAACCGTCCTCATCGAAGGTCTTCTGGTCCTCCCCCCACCCACCTGCCGCCAGAGACATCAAGCGGAGGAGACCATGTCGTCCGACAACGCTGCGGGGCCTCCGTGCTGCCTCTGCGGCCCCACGTGCCCGCTGGTACTTGTGGCCGTCCTGGGGGTGTGGGCGGCGTGGTACTGGCGAGACAAGCGCCGGGTGGCCGGCGCGACGGGCCGCTGGGTGCTCATCACGGGCTGCGACTCGGGATTTGGGCGGGCGCTGGCCAGGCGGCTCGACGCGGTCGGCCTGCGCGTCGTGGCGGCGTGCCTGGGCCCTGCCGGCGAGGAGGAGCTGAGGAGGTCGTGCTCGTCGCGCCTCGTCACGCTGCGTCTCGACGTCACGGACCCCGAGAGCGTGCATGCCGCGGCCCGGCGGGTGCGGCAGGAGGTTGGCGAGCAGGGTGGGTGCGATCGCGCGAAGCTCGGGAAAAAAATAACCGTCGTATACTACACCGTCGTCATCATTTTTGTTATTGCCGCATTGCTGTGGATTTATCGACGTGTTTTTGTTCATAAGTGTATGGTGCAATCCCCATGATGTGTGGGTGCCCTGATGCCGGAACCAGCGTGTTGGTAATTACAAGCCCGTGAGTTCCACAGAAGTCTAGCAACGTCCTACCGTTATTATTGAGCTGATCTGGCCTATGCCTTCCAACCACTCCGACACAAAGCTTAGGCCACAGTCATGCCCTCCCTTACTCTATGCTTGCGAAACGTGGAACCCCCTAATGGAACATCTTCATTGGTTACAGACATTAAGGCTGGCCTGCCTACAGTCCATCCTGGGTTTAACCAGGCTGGATTGTATGAGGAGCTCACAAATCATCAAAAGATCTGGACAAAGTGCCATCAGTGAGCTCCTACGGCAGGCAAGGCTGCATTGGCTTGGTCATGTAGACTGCATGCCCGGCCACCGCATGCCCAAACAGATTTTGTGTGGCCGGATAGAGGGGACTAAATGGGCGCAGCACGGGCTAGAGAAGAGATGGAGTGATGTGGTACAATGCCTCTGTTGATATGTAAACTTTGACTTTAACACAGCTATTTCTGTCACAAGCTAATCCCTCGCCATTTCAATGCTAAATTCTCCTGCTTTGATAGGTAAACTCCTTTGTCAAGGCTCTCCACGCCTCTCACCAAGCTTAAAAGACACTACGAATCTTAACAGCGTTCATTCAAGCTCTGTCGTCCCGACAGTTCTGTTCTTTCACCTGAAGAAGGCTACTTGTGTTGTGGCCGAAACGTCGTGAGAATTTTATTGTCTTATTTTATTATTATTATTATTATTATTTTATTCTCATTCTACGTGACTTTACCGAAAGAACCAAAGAAGATGAATCCTTGCAGTTACGAAAGCTTTCAATACAAATATTTGCATTGTTCTTAAAACTGATTGGTCCACACCAGAGACAGCTTTCGTTTGAGCCTCGTCTCAAACGGTGTTAGACCAGAGGACGCCAAAAGGGGATCTTTGTCTTTGGTGCAATCCCCACTCTCTCTTCGCCTTGTCCAGTCGTGCAATGTCCACCCACACCCTAGTATCCACTCAATATCTATCGATTCGCAACTTTCAGAGTTTTCAGTGCGAGTTGTGAGCACTCTCCATTCCATGTGTAGTGACATCGGGGGATTATTTATACCCACTACACATGTGAACTCTTCAAACACAAAAGTGTGTGCATTGCTTACCCTCTCACATCTTTTTGTTCTAAAAAGCAATCGAAATGCTTTCCATCGCTGTGATCCTATTCCCCGTCGCTCGGGACGCGATTCTCTCTGCCATGGCTTCTTCGCCCCAGGCTTGTGGGGCTTGGTCAACAACGCTGGCCGCAGCATCCCCATCGGCCCTAACGACTGGATGACGACGGACGACTACCGCAGAGTGCTGGACGTCAACCTCCTGGGCATGGTGGACGTCACGCTGCAGATGCTGCCCCTGGTGAAGCAGGCTCGGGGTCGGGTCGTCAACGTGGCCAGTATTCTAGGGCGGGTGTCCATCGTGGGCGGTGGGTACTGCATCTCCAAGTTCGGAGTGGAGGCCTTCTCCGACACCCTCAGGTGCGGCATGATTCATGGTCAAGGTGATGGCGGCGTCGGCCGTATTAAAATGATGCGACTTGTTCAATAATACCGGCATAATGGTTCACATACTGGAAGTGCAATCCAGAAGCCGCCAGTTCGATCTCCCAATCATCATTGTTTGACCGTATTTGATTCACCATTGGGCCTGTAGCAGCCATGGAATGGTGGAGACTACCGCTTCACTACCATCTACAAGTCATAAAGCCCATAGACATTGGGGTCCAGCCAACACAATAAAATCCAAAAAATGAGCTCCGTTAATAATGGCATGCACATGTTTTATTGTTGGAGTGTACCACGTGCCATAGACATTGAGTGATATACCAAATTGCGCGATGGCGCTTGTTTGGACAAAAATATGAGAGAGAGTAGGGGATGCAAGCCATCCATCATCCATCATTTGGGTTCCGTGCATGGAATGCCGCTGTGTCTTCTGCGCCCGCTGTAGGCGCGACATGCGTGCGTTTGGGGTGAAGGTGTCCATCGTGGAGCCGGGGTTTTTCCGTACGGCTGTCACTGACAATTCCCTCCTCGAGGAGGATCTGAGGAAGCGCTGGGCACAGCTGCCATCTGTGATGAAGGAAGATTACGGCAGCGACTACCTCGACAAATGTAAGATTCAATTCTAACATCTCCGTGCACACTCCTTCGTCTCCCCTGCCATCTCACTCTATTCCCCTCCATGCACTATGCTACCTCTCCCCTCTCATCTCACTTCACTGCCTTCTACCCACTTTCTGCTCCAGCAGCCATGGCGTTCTGTTGAAGCTCCCAGTCAACCTTTACACAGTGTGAGGTTGCTCATTCTCGTCTGCTGTAAATGGAACCCCCCACTCCCCATCCATCCGTGTTGTCGACTTGCTGCCGCTGTTCAAGTTCAGGTTCAAGATGTTCCTTTTTGCTATTATGATGACTGCCTCTTTCATTCTCTAAAAAAGTAATGTCGACTGTATTTTGTTCAGTGTCATAAGATATGGTCGCAGTTAGACACCATATAGTCAGGAGTGGAAATATAATGCTGTTATAAATCAGAGACAAGTGTAGTAGCGGCAAGTAGTGTATAAATATATAGATATATAGGGAAAGATATATATGCAGTTGACAAGTTTCTGTCCATCGTGCTGTGGATCTCCCAAATGCTACGTGGGAGGAAAACACACACTTGGAAAAAGTCTCTGATCAAACATCACACTGCTTAATTATATTAAATGTTCGTGCTGCTGAAACAGGCACAAATATTGTAATTGTACGCGTCAACGCTCGCGTTCACCAATCCCCTTGCGGAGAGCACCCCCCAAAGAGGGTATTCGGCCTGAGATTCCATGCTAACAGTACACAATTCATAATATAGATATTTGGGTTAAATCGCGTAATTATAAATGTGTCGTTAACCCGCCACCACCCGACACAGCCAACCTGTAAGGTTTGTCACGTAAACAAAACGTGCCAATTAGTTACGACATCAGCCCACCAGTGTGTTGGAGAGTAAATCCACAACATTTACAATTTGAGTACGATGTTCCACTCGTAATTACATCATGCATCATCGGGCAATTTTGCCAGAATTGTGAACATATCTACCTGCTTTCGGACTTAAATAGAGCAAGATAACGTCATCACTGAGCCAATCAGGCGCTCACAGTGATCACGTTATCTGACGCTGATATGATTGCAGATTCACGTCATCACCCCACACAGAAATCCTCTCATCAAGATGCTCATTACATCGGGCTAAAACAGTGTCAGATGGTGAAAGTCTGAGGAGCGAGATTCAACATGTCAAAGAAGCTCTACAATTAAATGGTTTCAATAATGTTCAAATTAACATAGCATTTAATGACAAACCCAACTCGAACAGCAATAATGCTGAAAGTGATAGTGTTATTAAACAATTCAAATACCATACATTGCTGGAGTAACTGACAACTAGTTTAGAAAAACTGAAAATCAGAGTGAGATTTAGCACGGTATACGAAATACAAAAACTAGAATCTTTAACTACAGATTAATTGCTGAAGTTATCAACAGAAGTTGTGTACCAGATTAATTGCTCTTGTGGATAATGCTATGTTGGACAGAGGGGACAAAACATTCGCATAAAACTAAAAGAACACTGAATAAATATCAAATACTCAGAAACACATCTGTCGGCAGTTGCAGAACATTCTTGCCAATAAAGACATTCAATTTATTTTTATAATGTTGAAGTGTTGTCTAAGACAAATTATAACTGGCCAAGACTAATTCGAGACTCTATTGAAATTGAGAGAAGTAAAAATAATTGTAACTGCTCTGACAGCTATAAACTTAGTGTGGCCTGGAAGCGTATTATTAAGTAATACACCTTACAATTGTATCCCTTGTAAAGGCATCACGTATAATTAACTGTCATTAACAATCCATTGTCATTTCATTACAAGTGTAGTGTACTAATTTAGAGACACTAGTACTCCCTCTTTTATTCCGGCCTTTACATCCATAGGGGATAACTGCGTACCGGGTCAGGACAACCAACATGCTTCCAGACCCACAGCTTCGTAGCGGCGAAACCCAAAGCACCGGGAGCATGACAAGTTCCACTCCAGATGGCAGCAACTGCGAGTCGGAGCTCGCCCTTTATACTCCCCCAGCGTGGCCAGGCTCCGCCCTCGGCCACGCACCCTTCTGGATCCCCCAGAAGGCTCTGGGTTTCGCGCACGGGTCCCACTGGTCGAACGGGCTGCCACCCCACTCCCATTCTCTACCAGTCCCCAGCGCTACTTGCTCCAGTGACTCATTCTATGTCACTACACAAGTAACCCCCCTCTGCCCTCCGCACCTGCTTGGTCCACAGTGATGACGTTATCTTGCTCTATTTAAGACCGGAAGCAGGTAGATCTGTTCACAATTCTGGCAAAATCGCCCAATGATGCAAGTTGTAATTACCAGCGGAACGTCGGACTCAAATTGTAAATGTTGTGGATTTACTCTCCAACACACCGGTAGGCTGAAGTAGTAACGAATTGGCATGTTTTTTTTTTATGTGACAAACCTTACTGGTTGGTGGTGGCGGGTTAATGACACATTGATACTTATGCGATCTAAACCAAAAAACTCTTTATCATGAATAATAATGGTGGCGAAAGCCGGCATATCAGGTACACAAAATCGTAATAAAACAAAATCTTAAATCCCACTACACTGAGACTGACCAGTTTTTTTTTCTTTCCCTTAACTTTGCAGACATGTGGCTGCAGAAATCCATTCTGGCTCGGCTGTGCGACGGTGACCTCTCAAAGGTCACCTGGTGCATGGAGCATGCCCTAGTCGCCACTCACCCACGCACACGGTACGGCGCGGGCTGGGATGCCAAAATCGTTTGGTTGCCGATCTCCTATCTCCCAACTTTCATGACCGACTTTCTGCTGGCAATGATTCTGCCGCGTCTCGCCGTGGCCACAAAAGTAAGGCCCTGAACCGGAGCAGCGCGAGCTCCACGAGATGTTAACTACCTCGCCTGGTATACAAGAGGTCGTGGGTTTGATCCCGACCCTGACGCCTGTTGCATATTTGGAGTTTGCATGTTCTCTCTTTCTGTGGTGGCGTGCATCTTTTTCTGGGTCCTCCAGTTTTTCCCTCCACATTATTTGGGTGCTATAAATTTCCATATAAGCCGCTTCATTGAGCTTTTGTTTGTGTCGAGTGTGTTGTGCCGCTACCTTGCGTGTCCAGTGGTACCCTCGCATGGAACGATGGATTGGTTTGTCGCAGATTTAAGTAAATCTTTCGCGTTTGCATGATGTTTGGGTGCCTCGCCAGAAGATCCACAAGTCATCGCTACTGAGCAAAACCGATCTTAAAATGTGCACGTATAAATTACTGTGCTGTAAATCAATCCCATCGTGTAACCGACCCTTTAAAGTGGAAACGTCGCTTAATATTTTAAAATGAATTGATATTAAAATGAATAAACGTTATCCATTGTTGTACTGTACTTCTTTGCACCCCAGCCTTCGCCAACCCATCTCGCCAAATGGTGGCGAGATGTTAACTGCTTTGCTTGTTATACAGGAGGTCGTGGGTTCTATCCCGATCCCGACCCCGACCCCTGAATATTTGGAGTTTGCATGTTCTTCTTGTGGTCGTGTTGATTTTTCCTCGTGTCCTCTTTTTGTTTTCCCTCCACATTTAGAAACATGCGTTACAATTATATTATTTGGCTGCTATAAATTTCCACACGATAAGCCACTTTGTTGAGCTGTCATTTGTGGCCAGGTCACTTCTGAAAAAGAGCTAAATAGCTCAGTGGGCCTTACCTAGTAGTTTTTTTAGTTTCTCAGGTGGGATGGATTTTTGTAGCACGCATCGCTAAGAGTCCCTGCACTCGCGAATCTCTGACCGAATGTTGCGTGCGCTCAGTTCGATTCACGCGTTTTACTTAGGCATGCTGCCACTGAGGTGGTGTAACGGTCAGCACACTGGACATGCAATCCATGGGTCACCCGTTCAATCTCCAAGCGCGGCTGTTGAAACGATGGCGCAAGTTCCTTAAATCCCCTACTGCCTTTGTCCACCCAGCAGCAGAAATGTGTAGGTTGGGTGTAGTGGAGTAAAGTGTGGGCACTCCTCCCACTTCTTCCATGGCATATGGCCAGTGGAGAAGAGGATGCCAAAAGTACCCTCCACAGGGGCCTCTCAAGTGCTTCCCTCCTAGTGGAGGCCCATTGTTCCGATAATTTGTTTTAAATCGATCACTTTACGCTCTTCATGACGCGTCGCCGGCGGGGGGGGGGCGCGGGGATTGGGGGTTCGTCGCCGTCGTCCCAGCGGCAGCTGTGCGACGCCACGCTACAGCCTGACGTCGATGTGGATCGCCACCACGGGATCCTCGGATACGTTGCTCATCTGGAAGAAGGCGCGGCCGTCGCCCCCCACGGAGATCTGCACGCCCGTGCAGCGCCCGCTCGACAAGTTGCCGGAGATGACGTTTCAGTGGGTTCCGGCTGACAGGCTGGACTGGAGGGTCGCGTCAAGGTCCCCTGCAGAATGGTGATGTATGTTTGTATGTATGTTGAACTTCTTCTTTCAAACCGTACATATCCGACTGTGATATAATCGGAGGTGCGGGGGAAGGACAACGAGCGAAGCACAAAAAGCTGAGTTCAAGGGAGGTCCATCGCCATGTCCGCTCCAGAAAATGGATTGGTACACCAGTGGCATAGCTATAGAGCGTGGTGCAGGCGGTGCAACTGCCCCACATGCCCAAGGGGCTCATGCCACCGAGCTAAAAAGCGATTTGGAGATTTGATTGGGAGGGTGGAGGGCATTTAAATTCTGGGCAACATTCCCTATGCAAACCATGCTAGTACACAACTGACGTACGGGTCGACTAACTATGAGCATAGTGCCATCTTATTGGGAATACATTTAGCCGCAAAATCGTGCTAACGTGTAGTGGCGTAACGCGCGCAGGGTTTGCAAACAGCAGTTGCATTTATGTACGGGGTTGCAACCAGTGAGGTCAGCTCCGGAAAAGCAGGTGCAGGCGGGTGGCCTGGGTGACAGGGACAGAGAGACGCCAGCAATTCTGGAAAGAGGCAGTGATTGGCTGGCTGCAAATGCGGGGTAGGCGCCAAAGAGGCGAGAGATAGAGGCGATAAGGGGGAGAACACGTGCAAGAGACGCCGGAAGAACGCCAGCTTCGTGAGGGTCATCTGAGGGCACTTAATGAGGAGGGGGATATAAGGGGAACATATGAAGCAATGGGGTTGAGTCGGTTGGAGATGAAGCAGTGAAGAGTATTCAAGACAAGCCCCTGGACCTCGCCCTCCACACCTCGTCCTCCCCACCGGTGTTGGCTGATTCACCTGCTGGGGGCACGGGCGAGGTTGGAGGTGCGGGAGTCGACAGGCTAACGGAATCTTGAGTCTGAGTGTGATAGGCTAGCGGGGTGAGAAGCTAGCAGAGTATACAGAGAGAGAGAGAGTCTGTGACAGGCTAGGAGAGCGGGGAGTAACAGGCTAGCGGAGCAAGAGAGAGTAAGCTCGAAGTAGCAGGCTAGCGGAGGAAGAGAGGAAGAGTTCGCAACAGGAGTACGTGGTGTTGAACGTGAGGAGCATCCGTGTGGGATGCTGCAAATAAAGTGACAGGAGAAAAAGACGAAGTTGTCCACGTGAATAAACACCACACTACAAATGCATCTAACAAGTCATATGCACCTCATGTGCATCCAAACGCATGGATGGGATGGCACTGTGGCATGATGTGGTTATTTCTGTGTAAGTTAATTCTGTAGTTTGCAGATTTGTGTGGCCTTGTGATTGGGCGTTCCTGCAGGTTTGTACTTTGGTCAGTGGGCGGGAAAATCGGCAGGTGGCTGAAACCGCTGAAACAAACCTCAGCATGTGGTTTCGTGACGTCACGTGCACTACAGGGCTGTACGTGGCTGCTGAGATACATGTGCTGGTTTACGAGTCTTTCAAGTGGAAGTTGTTATTAGTTTTACACCTACATGTATGGGACTACCGCAGTGGACAGCTGTGAAATTGTGAAAACGAGAGATTGTGGATATAACATCTAAAAAAAATCAGTCCATTTTAATCAGGTAAGTAATGCGGAAATAACACCGTGGCGCCTTAGTTATTTTTTACTTTTTTCAGGCCACTGCTGAATGGAAGGCCTTACAATACCTTTGTAGGTCAAGAGGGTTGTTTTTACCAAACTACAACTGGCCTCTTAAGATTACACTCGCCACTTTCATGGTCCTCTTGGCTGACGATTTATCTCGGATCGCCGGGTTCATAGTGCAGTGCACTCGCCACAGATGCCCCTCCGTGTTTTGCACGGGCGATTTGCTGTGGCGTTCTTTTGGAGATGGGAATAACAACCCGTGCGTGGGCCTGGCCACGACACGTCTCTAGCAGGGACGACGATGATGATGACGAGAGTGGACGATGAATGGCAGTCGAGAAGAACTTAAATTGTGCTGTAAAAACTATTTTTTTTTTTTGGCTGGCTATCGAACAAAGGCGGTCACTGCATCGTACACTTTCAGATGCGCTTCTGCGGCCGTTTGGAACGCTCTTCCTTCCAATATTAGGAAGCAATCCCAGTGTTGCGCTTTTACATCTCGATTTAAAACTCATCTATTTCAAACTGCTTTTTGTACTTCGTTTATTGTCATTCCCCTGCACCTCCTTTTCTCGCATTCGTACATGCAAACTCGTCAGATACATTGAACGCGTAATATACTGCCTGGTTGAACCTGAGACTGTTCGGTTCAAAATATAATAGTTGGATACTGTGAGTACTGTCACTCATCATGATTTTGGTTCAATCATGCAAATGACGATGATTATTTCTTCACCATGGAAAGCCTCAGTGATTTAAAAAATATTTTTTCATGAGGGTCCTGCACTGGGATATTTCTCCAGTTTTATTCATGGGTGGCTTTATGAGGGAGGAAACTGAAGCACCCTTTGAGAATTCACCGCGGACACACAAGGGAATAGTACTCAGAGCTTCGCACAGATGTAATTGTAAGTGGCATTATTTTCTATCTTTAGGAAGTAACATGCCGCAAGAAGAAATATTTTCATTCTGTACATATTGCCTGCTATGACTTATGGGTTAGAAAAATTGACAACGACGATTGAACAAGAGACGAGAAGTGTGCCAAGAACCACGCAGATAGAGAGAGAGACCGATAGATGATGTAAATACGTTGAGAGACTAAAACGGAAACTCATGGACTATAGAGCCACCACAAGTGAGAGATATGTACGTTTGTTGAACTTCTTTCGCACCGTATGTAGCCAACCAGGCTCATCGGAGGTGTGGGAGAAAGACAACAAAGTAAACACAAAAAGCGGTTCGAAAAAATGAGTTTGGAATCTAGATTTTGACCATGAATGAAAGTGGGTTTGGACAGGACGTGTCGCTAGAATTATTTGTTGGCCGGTAATGAAGACTACCGATGGAGTGGCAGCCAAAGAAGGGAACACGCCCGAGCGGATGTCCACCGCGGAGATGGGGTGAAGAAGTAACTGGATGGGTTGTTGCATCGCCTAACAGGGAGAGGTGGCCACCCACGGCTTAGAGGTCTTCATTCAAACATTGCTCATCGCTGCCGATGACACGTGGACTACGCCTACTGCTCCACTTCCATCTCCTATAGCCCACAGCCTCAGACCCACAACGCCCGGTATAAACACAAATGCGACCGTCAACTTTAAGCATGGTTGTCATCGCTGCTGTGTATGTTCGTTGAACTTCTTTTGCACCGTACGTAGCCAACCGTCCTCATCGAAGGTCTTCTGGTCCTCCCCCCACCCACCTGCCGCCAGAGACATCAAGCGGAGGAGGCCATGTCGTCCGACAACGCTGCGGGGCCTCCGTGCTGCCTCTGCGGCCCCACGTGCCCGCTGGTACTTGTGGCCGTCCTGGGGGTGTGGGCGGCGTGGTACTGGCGAGACAAGCGCCGGGTGGCCGGCGCGACGGGCCGCTGGGTGCTCATCACGGGCTGCGACTCGGGATTTGGGCGGGCGCTGGCCAGGCGGCTCGACGCGGTCGGCCTGCGCGTCGTGGCGGCGTGCCTGGGCCCTGCCGGCGAGGAGGAGCTGAGGAGGTCGTGCTCGTCGCGCCTCGTCACGCTGCGTCTCGACGTCACGGACCCCGAGAGCGTGCGTGCCGCGGCCCGGCGGGTGCGGCAGGAGGTTGGCGAGCAGGGTGGGTGCGATCACGCGAAGCTCAGAAAAAATAACCGTCATCTACACCGTCGTCATCATCGTCATCACTATTGTTATCGCTTTATTTATCGAAAAATGTTTGTTCATCACTGTGTGGTGCAATTCCCAATAGGGAGCACACCTGGGTCTGCCCCATGACCTGTCACTTGGCCTCGAAGTGCACCTGGCCTGGCACAGGCGCCGTTGTGATGTCACGGTAGGTGGCGATTGGTGGGTATTGGTGTAATCCATGTGGGGAGCGGTAGTGTAGCGGTTAGCGTGCTGTGCTATGAATCCGGCGACACGAGTTCAATTCCCGCTCATAGCCAACACCGGTGACGTTTAATTGAAACGGTCATAGGCCTCTTCTAGGTCGACTCAGCCTCAATTGAGTACCTGGTGCAGTGTGTAAACATCCCCACTAGGGAGTCAAAGGCGACCGTACGTGGTGCTGGCCACCCACCCCCTCATGTGCCGAGCAAGTGTTATTTGCGAACAACACTTGCTCAAACAGTCTGTTAAGGTTATATGGGTGATATTTTTCGTTGTCTTTGGTGCAATCCCAACTCTCTCTTTCTCTTTGCCTTGTCCAGACGTACACTGTCCACCCACACTCTAGTATCCTCTCAAAATCTATCGCTCTTCAACTCACAAGAGTTGTAAGGACGATTGTGAGTGCTGTCCATTACGTGATCTCTCAAACACACAAGCTCGTTGGTGCATTGCTCTCAATACTTTGCTTTCTATCACTGTGATCGCATTCCCCGTCACTTGTGCCGCGCCTTTTCTCCGCCACGGTTTCTTCTTCGTCCCAGGCTTGTGGGGCTTGGTCAACAACGCTGGCCGCATCATCCCCATCGGCCCTAACGACTGGATGACGACGGACGACTACCGCAGAGTGCTGGACGTCAACCTCCTGGGCATGGTGGACGTCACGCTGCAGATGCTGCCCCTCGTGAAGCAGGCTCGGGGTCGGGTCGTCAACGTGGCCAGCATCGCGGGGCGGGTGTCCATCGTGGGCGGTGGGTACTGCATCTCCAAGTTCGGAGTGGAGGCCTTCTCTGACACCCTCAGGTGCGGCAAGATTCGTGATCACGGTGGCAGTTCCGGCCGCACTAATAGAATGACGTGACTTGTTCAGTAATATCTGTGGAATGGTTAGAATACTGTGACCGGATCTCCTAGAAAATTGCACACTTCAGTTGGCGGTTGACGTTCAAAGTGGACTGTGATCCTCCAAGGAATGGCATCATGGGATGGTGGAGACTTCCGCCTCAATGCCATCTGTGAGTCATAAATGCCATAGACATTCGGGTCCAGCTAACTCAGAGGTTCCGGAGCCACATGCGGCTCTTTGAGGACTACTTCGTGACACGTTATTTATTAAGGATCACCGTCCCGTATTCACATGCATTGCTGCTATTGAAATATTGAGTTGATTACAGAATTACAAAAAAGGGGCTCTTCTTGTTATGTTGGTTGCCGACCCCTGAGCCAACCCAATACAATCTCAACAATGAGCTCCGATGATAATGACGCGCACGTGTTATATTGTTGGAACGTGCCATAGACATTGAGTGAATAGCAGAGTGTGCTTTCGCTCTTGTTTGGACAAAGTGATGAGTGAGAGTGGGGGATGCAAGCCATCCATCATCTATCATTTGGGTTCTGTGCGTGGAATGCCGCCGTGTCTTCTGCGCCTACTGTAGGCGCGACATGCGTGCATTTGGGGTCAAGGTGTCCATCGTGGAGCCGGGTGGTTTCCGTACAGGTATAACTGACATTGCCGCCATTGAGGAGGATCTGAGGAAGCGCTGGGCACAGCTGCCATCTGTGACGAAGGAAGATTACGGCAGCGACTACCTCGACAAATGTAAGATCCAATTTTAACATCTCGCTCCTCTACCCTCCATGCAATCTCCTTCCTCTCCCCTCTCATCTCGCTCTACTACCCTCCACACACTTTCTACTCCAGCAGCCATGGCGTTCTGTTGAAGCTCCCAGTCAACCTTTACACAGTTTGAGGTCGCTTATTCTCCTTTGCTGCCTTCATGGCCTGGAACCCCCTTTCCCCAGCCATTTTTGTTTGTCGGCTCCCTGCCCCTGTTCAAGTTCAGGCTCAAAACCTTCCTTTTTACTTTTACGATGACTAACTGCCTCTTTCATTTTCTATAAAAGAAACATGTATATTGTGTTTTTGTTAAGCGTCCTGAGATATGGTCGCAGTTAGACACTATATTATCAGTTTAACACGTAAGCTTTCGTGACCAATATCATCCATAATACTGTTTTTTTGGGTTGGATCGCGTAAATATATAAATCTAGTGGCAGGTTTAATGACACATGTATATTTTTATGCGATCTAACCCAAAAACCTGTATTATAGACTATATAGTTAGTTAGACACTATATATAGTCATGAAAAATATGAATATGCTTTACCTTTTCTGGAAATTAAACAGGTGTTAAGATGTTTAATCACCGAATACATACCTTTTGCAAGGAATCAAGTCTGCATAAACCACACATACTTGTGTCAAAACAGTCAAACAAACATGGTCACATAATATATGCACTGATTGGCCTACACCAGAGACAGCCTCTTTATGGACTAGTCTCACCAGTATCAGACCAGAAAATGCCAGAAGGTGTACAATACAGAGATAATGCACGTGTAGCGAGTCCAACTGAGCCGCAGACGTTATCCTGGGAGCAACACTTTGTTATACAACAGCACGCAACATAACACGATCTACACTCGGGTCTCGAATGCCCATCTAACCACGCTACGGCAGAACTAGACACGGTTCGCTATCCCGGTCCGGACCACAAGCTGGGTCCCGGACCGCGTGGCTAGAGGCTTCTTCTCCCCGACGTGGATCTTCGTAACACCAGCACACGAAGAACCTCGAGCTCCTCACGGGACCCTCGTTAGATGCCCTCGAGCTGGGGCTGGCTCCGTCCTTCGCCCCGCCGACCTTCCAGGTCTCCCGAAGGTTCCCGAGAGCTATATTGTAAATGTATGAGTCAGCGCTCGTGTTTACCACCCCTTTTGAAGAGAGCCCCCCCAAAGAGGGTATTAGGCCTGCGATGTCATGCTAACAGTACACAAATAATAATGATAATTCATATCTTGACTCCCACTGCACTGAGACTGACCAGTTTCCACCCCCCCCCCCCCCCCGAACTTTGCAGACATCTGGCTGCAGACATCCAAGATGACTGGGCTGTGCGACAACCTCTCAAAGGTCACCTGGTGTATGGAGCACGCCCTGGTGGCCACTCACCCGCGCACACGCTATGGCGCCGGCTGGGATGCCAAAATCCTTTTCATCCCGCTCTCCTACCTCCCAACTTTCATAGTCGACTTCCTCCTGGCAATGACTATGCCCCGTCTCGCTGTGGCCACAAAAGTAACCCCCTGAACCGGAGCAGTGGGGGCTCTGCCCACGGTGGCGATATGTTAACTTCCTCGCCTGGTATACAGAAGGTCGTGGGTTTTTTCCTGATCCTGACGCCTGTTGTATATTTGGAGTTGTATGTTCTCCCCATGGTCGCTTGGATTTTTCTTGGGGTCCTCCGTTTTTCCCCTCCTAAAAAAGAGCGGTATAGCTCAGTGGGCTTTACCTGGTAAAATAAAAATAGTTTATTTAATAGTTTAGTAAGTTAATTCTAGCATTGGGGGTTGTGATCTAGGTTAGTCAGGTGGCAAAATGATCTCTGAACAAAGTTCTGTAACATGAATGAATTTAATCTTGATTTGAAGCTTCCGTGACTGCAGGAATCCATACTCTTTGGTTCTTTTGGTAAAGTCACGTAGGTATAAAATAAAATAAATCACGACGTTTCGGGCGCAACACAAGCGTCCGTCATCAGGTGCGAAAGCATGGCCTGCTGCTGAGACAGACTGTTTTAAAATGTTTGAAATGGGTGTAGCCTAAGGGTCATAAAGAAGTGGCCGGAGCTAGTGATGTTAATGTGAGAAATTATCACGTACGGTAACTGTAAGATAGGAAAGCGGCCTCCTCGACGAGGGCACGGAAGTGGTTATGTTAATGTGATAGATCAGTATGATGTTAATGTGAGAAATTAGAGGGCACGGAAGTGTCTATGTTAATGTGAGAGATTAGCATGATGTTAATGTGAGAGATTAGCATGTAACTGTAGAAAAGGAGGAGAGCGGCCTCCTCGACGAGGGAGTACAACCCATCGGGTGCAATCCAAAGGACATGAGAGTATGAGAATGCAATCCAAAGGACATGAGAGCATGACAGTGCAATCCAAAGGCATGAGAGTGCAATACAAAGGACATGTGAGCATGAGAGATCTAAGAGAGAGGCATAGAGAGAGAGACACACAGAGAGTCGGAAATAACAGCTGACATAGGCAGTTAGGATGGAAACATCACAGTCAGTTAAGACTTTACCTGGTTAATAACGTCCTTCCAATGATTGCTCAGTTTGTACCCATCTTCTCGGTTGAAGTTGTGTCTGTGTTTATATATCTGGATGGCTTCATGAACAAATCTCTGAAGGTAGCCGGTAGGTTTGCAGAGTACCTCCGTCTTGGAAAAATCAATTTCGTGTGAGCCCATAGCTTTAAAACAATGATCAGCAATGGCAGAGGTATTGGTCATGCTAATCCTTCACATTAACATAGCCACTTCCGTGCCCTCGTCGAGGAGGCCGCTTTCCTATCTTACAGTTACATGCTAAAATTTCTCATTAACATCATTAGCCCAGGCCACTTCTTTATGACCCTTGGGCTACACCCATTTCAATCCTTTTAAAAGTCTGCCTCAGCAGCAGACCATCGCTTTCCTGCCTGATGACAGACGCTTGTGTTGCGCCCGAAACGTCGTGATTTATTTTATTTTATACCTACGTGACTTTGCCGAAAGAACCAAAGAGTATGTATGGATTTGCTAATGTTGAGATTGATTTTAAGAATATCTTCTTGTGGACGACGACACCAACTTTCAATATAGGGTTGGCTTAACATGGTGACTGCCCTATTCTGCATGGTGTAGGGTCCGTGATAAACAGCGTAGTCCATTGGGAAAAATATCGTGATTATCATGGCTCGCAAATATAACGTTTTCAGATTTTATTTCTCACTAAATAATTGTAAAATAATGAAAGAACAATATTTAAAATTTTAAATAAACATCTATGAACAGTTACATTTGAAATGACACTGACGACTGTCTACTAAGAGCCTCCTTATTTTAGACACAACTACAACTCTAGGTCCCAGCTTCGTTCCTGCTCTTGAAGATTTTCCCTTCCCTCGAACGTCCCCTCTCCTCGTGCTCTCCCCTTTTATCCTTCTCGAGCCCCGTCTCTCGAACTATCCCTCACTGTTTTTTTCCCCGCAGCCAATCCCTATCTTCCTCCTCCAATGGTTCCCAACCGTCGCCTCCAGGTTCTACTCTGTTTCCCGCTTTTTCCCATTTAAATATTTCCTTAAATCTCTTCAAACCCTGCCTCCCGGCAAATCGTTGTGGAGGCCTATTCCCGCCAATAGGAGGCCTTGGCCTACTTTTTCAATTATAGTGGCTGCACAATGGCTTGGGGTGAGTGCCGCTTAATTTCGGTCATTACACATTCGTTATTGGCGCAATATATTTCCGAAGTAAATGACTGCGTGGTGGTTATATGTCAACATGTTTGCAGTGCATTTTTTAAATCTATGTGCATCTTTAGGTACAGTATACTCATTTTTACTTGCAATGATTTGGATGACTTATGATTTAATGGAAAGCCTTATAGTGATACAACTGCAATGAAGAACCTATCAATAAATCATTGTTGAAATTAAAGTATAGCAAAAACCACACGATCGCCACGATTTGTTGGCCAGAGTATCATGACAAACTTTTTTTCTTTTGATGAATGCCATCATAAAGGCTAAGATTGTTTCGTGGCAGAAACCGATGCTACGTCTACACAATTGAGTGGAAAACGCGTGGCCTTCCACATGCACACATTCATTCTGCCGTGGCTTCAAGGTCAACTTCAAGGTCAACTGCATGTGCACAACGTGGATGACTTCATCAGCGCTGAACTTCCAGACCTACACATTGATCCTCTTCTGCACAACACTGCCAATACACACATGGTGCATGGTTCCTTGTGGAACCATCAATCCCAAATCACCATGCATGAAAGGCAACAAACGCACTAAACGCTTCACCATAACAACTTCTGAAATACGCACAGACTGCACAAGATGGATATTCACTGTATCGTCGCAGAACACTCAAAGATGTTGGCTTTACAACTACCATCAGAGTTCGTGGTTTTGACGTTGAATTAGACAACAGGTGGATTGTTCCATACTGTCCGCTTCTCTCACGCCTTTTCAATGGACATATCAATGTTGAGTAATGACACTGTCAAATCTATAAAATGTGTGGAAGTATGTCAACAAAGGATCTGACATGGCGATCTTTAGCCTCACAACAGATGGCACAGTGCATGATAAGGTTCAACAATATGAATTGGGCAGATACACCAATGAAGCCATATGGAGAATCCTAAAACTTCCCCAATCACGAGTGACATTTCAGCGTGCACCTTGACAGTGGGCAAAGAGACTACTTCACGGACACAAATGCACATACGCGAGCCCAAGTCCCACAACACACAACTCTCACTGCTTTCTTCCTTCTCTGCAGGGATGATGCTTTGCTCAAACACTGCTTTATTATCAGGTACCCAAGTAGTTGCACATGGAATGTTGCCAGCAAAAAAGTGGGTACGCCGCAAAGTTGGACAAATTTTGCTAAATTACCCACAGATCAAAGCCAGTTATGTACTTGGCCGTGTTCACACAGTACATCCCAACAATTTTTAATGCTTTCACCTCAGACTGCTTCTACATGACGTCAAAGGTCCTAAGTCATTTGAAGAACTGCGAACAGTTGATGGCACTATCTGAACTAATTAACACGCTTGCCAATTCCGAAGCCTGCTACAGGATGATGCGCAGTGGAACAGCACTTTAGATGAGGCAGCTGCAACTCAGTCGCCAGCAATGATGCAGAACCTGTTTGCCATCATGCTGGACACCTGTGCTACGTCTAATAATTTGCAACTATGGCACAACCACAAGGAGGGCCTTGCAGAGGACATTCTGCAACAGGTACAAGTGCTAAATCCAAACCTGTTACAACACTACAAAGATGCCATCTTCAATCAGGCTCCCATTATCATTGAAGACAAGAATCATGCTTTTGGTGGCTCTGGCCTCAGAGCTTTCGCCCTTCTTGAACCAGTACGTAACAATGACAATGATGTGCCACATGACCTTTTGCGAGAAACCACCTATAACATGCAGCATCTTACTGAATACATCCAACTAAATGAGCCAAGTCTGCTTCCAAGCCAAAGAGAAGCCTGCAACAAGATTACTACTGATGTTTTCAGGGGTCGTGCCATTTTCTTTATTGATACTCCGGGTGAAACAGACAAAATTTTCCTCATCAATCTTCTTTTGGCCAAAATCTGCCAGAACAACTTGATTGCCATTGCTGCCACATTATTGACAGGGAATTGGGCGATCTCCCCCGAGGCTAACTCGCACCGCGACACCGTGACTTTGGTGGTAATTACGTGGTCACGACGGGGCTGCTCAGCCACCGCGGGTAGAAAACACACACGACACACACGGGTCAGCAGGCAGGTAGGGGGGCGAAGCCACGAACGGCGGGAAAACAGGGCCGGCCCTCTGATTGGTAGGACAGATGTGCTTGTACACCAACGCAGTAGCCCCGCGGTCGCCCCTTTCGATATAGAAGGTAAAATGCGGACGTCTGAGAGAGCACCGGTCCGGGGAGAGTGGCGGGAAATCCGAGCCTCCTGATTGGACGGGAGGCCAGCGGATCAGCGCCGATTAATCTTTGATGTAGAGGACAATAAAAAGAGGAGAGAAGGTAGGGATAGAGGTAGTTCGTGTTCTACTCAAGCCAGCGCTCGGGGCCGTCGACTTCCCAGCCACTCGAACGTCCGTGTGACGAGTTGAAGTGCAGTGAGGATCCGACCCAGCAGCTCCGTATGAGTCGAACCGTGAGTACCCGAGAGTGAGATATTGAGGCCATTGTGAGATTTTCCTAGGAGAGTGATTCGAAAGAGGCGGGACAGATTGGGTCTTAGACCATCGGGAGATAGGTTAGACCTGCCCTGCTGACTCAAACTGACTCGGGCAATTTAGCCTCAGACATGCTGAGAAAAAACTGTTGGTGATCAATAAACCTTGTCGTGTGGTTTCTGCGAGGGTGGAACGGATGCATGGTGGTGTGCGTCGTTGTACCCTGTGTTTGTGCGTGAGTGTGTATTTACCCACGTGTTTGTGCTCGCCCATGCGTGTAGCTCGTGGTTAACGTGTGCATGTGGTGAGCAGCGGCGGACTCGTACAGGGGCACGTGAGATTACTCATACGCCCTTGTGTTTAACGTGTGCTTGAGGCAAA